TTATCGTTTGTATTCGCTCCAGAGTACTTGCGACAATCACTTGGACGGCAGTATGAGCCCCCTCCCCCACCGGCTTGACGTTCATGTGTGCCACTGCCACCTCCCGAGTATCCACCTCCACCTCCGGATGCACCATTGTCTTCTGATCCACCCCCACCCCCTCCAAATCCCCCTACCGCACCAGGAGTAGGTCCACCGTTATATCCGCTGTTCATATTTCCGGCGCGCCCTCCTACCCAGCCCTCAGCACGTGACCCACCTGGCTCTCCGTGCGGACTATTATCARCTCGTGCGCATCCCTGGCCATGCCAACCCGCACCAACCCCTCCATGGTAGCTGGCACCGACATTGTTACACTTGCCTGGGCTACCAAATGTACCTCCCCCTCGAGAATGATTGGCGTTAAATCCCATGCTTGATGTCCCAGAAGTACTCAAAGTACCGCTAACACCATGATATCCAGAGGATGCACCCCCACCACCCCCTGCGGCCACCAATAAAATATTGTCAGCCGTATAAACAAAGCTACCCCCACCCCCACCAGTGCCTGCGTTATCCTCGACTGATTTGCCAAGTTGAGCTGCGGTCTTTCTGGTGGTTTCTCCTCCACTGACTTCGACCGAGTTTCCTCCTCTTTTACCGACTACAATATTCAGTGTAGTGCCAACAGTGATCACTTTGGTGGCAACGACGACCGCACCCCTCCCTCCATAGTAAGTTCCTAAAAGTAATGATTCATATGGAATATGCTTTAGTCATCTGTTATTAGTGACGAAATAGTGGCAATTTTCCGTAGGTAAGAAAACTGCAAGCCATCCAATACTGATATTTTACCACAGTGTTGTAWTTTTTGTCAATTTCTTATTGGATTTATGATCGACTTTGTCTCGTGGATGAATAACAATTGTGACGATTTCATGACGACCGTGGTCATAAATAAGAGGACATACCATATAATAAAATACCTTAAACATATAATAGAGGGATAATGTTGAATTAATGGCATACCTGGTTTGTATCCATAGGTGTAATAGTGTGTCCCACCTCTTGCTCCTTCTGCTCGTATCATGTATTTCCCAGTTTTTCTTATGACAAACGATTGGATGTTGCCATTCCGACCTGACCCATTTGCGCTGAAAGTACCTAGACATTATACCAATAGCAATAGATAATTAACATTGAGCTAGTTAAAGAGAACGAAGGCAAAGCCATATAATACATCCATGTAGACCTTTCAAAAAAAGATTGTCAGAGCAAGCACGCCCGTTATTATGGGTATTGATCCTTGATAGATGTTCTAGTCTCCTTTGCAAATCTTCTCCCCAAGAGCAAAAGCAAGAGCAAGCAAGAGCAAGAGCAAGAGCAAGAGCAAGAGCAAGAGCAAGAGCAAGAGCAAGAGCAAGAACAAGAGCAAGAGCAAGAGCAAGAGCAAGAACAAGAGCAAGAGCAAGAGCAAGAGCAAGAGCAAGAGCAAGAGCAAGAGCAAGAGCAAGTTCCCCTGCAGTTGATGGGAATGCCTCTCCAACTCGAGCGAAAAAGCAATGGAATCGATCCTGTTCACAAGAGAGCAAACGTAAAAACTTTTGTTTAGTTCCTCCAGATGAAGGTGTTTTGACGTCACATGCAAAGTGTTTCTATGGTTTATACCGACGTTCTTGTCAATGTCGTGTCTTTTAGTTGTTTTCTCAGGAAAACTATATGCAAAATGACACTTGTAATCCGATCATTGCTCAATCAATGTTAACGACCATGCGCTGCCTATCGATTAGCTCATTAGAATTATTGTGTAGAAGAGCTAGGGCTCGAATCCAACAACGGTATTCATCAATAAACTTTTTTCATTGTTATTATAGATGATTGTTTGGGCTTACGAAGAAGTCATGTGTACGTAGTACGTAGTATGCCATGTATCATATCTTATATACCAGCACAATAACTTACGTTTACATGTATAGCCGCCGATAGAATTTGAACACTGCAAGCCAGCTAATTGGCATTTGTTTTTTCCAGCAGAGCACTCATCAATATCTGTGAAAGTGAACCGGATACACGTGAAAAATTTCTGAATTTTGGGTGATTAAAACAACTGAACCATTTTGGTGCGCGTAGACTTTTATTAGGTAATCGTCTTTTGATTTTGCGCCAGTATTTTCTACGGATTATCATTTATGCACTTCAATTATTAAACTATTATTTGATAATTGCTTCAAAAGTAACGCAACGTTCCTACTTGAGTTTTTAAAGCTTTTGTTACATGTATAATCACCAAACTGGTCAACGGCTACATTTATATCATTGCTGTCGCCTTTGATATTCTAAAGCTGAAAAAAATCTCTAGAGAAAAAACAACAAAATAACCACTGCAAAGGAAAAAAGAATAAAAGAAAAGAGACAAAGAAAAAAAAAGAAACGAATAAGAAACAATAAACAAGCCAAAAAAGGAAATTCTATAGCAGCAGGACTCGAACTCAGGACTTCAACTTGAGTGAAAGATGCACCCCCCGGACTTGTATAAGAAATAATGAAAATGAAAAACTAAAAAGATGGGACGATTCCCCCGAGACATTCTATGAAGCTGAGGCGTCGAATCGGCTTACGTTACGGCTAGAGATTTCGGCCCTTCCACGCTATCCCGAGTGAACATAAAACTTAGTCTTAACCAAAAAGGCCAGGGAGTGAGGGAGTAGCCGCCCACTAGAGCATACCTCTAGCTACCCTCTTAGACCATCGTACTATGAAGACACTTATATAGTTTTCTAATACTTAATCGGGATAGTCTATTCGGCGAAGTTCTATGCCATAATATGACTTCACTCAAGTCCTTAGGGAGCAGCGAGCCAATCAGAGCCCAGCTCAGGAATTAGCTTTTGTAAGGTTTTGTAAAATCATTCTTCAGTAGAATTATCTATGGGGGTGGGGGTGGGTAACCGATATTCTCGATGGAATATGTGAAGGCATTCACCGCTGATCTGTTCAGTCGACGTCGTTTTTGCTTTCCAAGTAATCCATAGGACTGAGGAATACAGTTCTCATATCAGACAGACTTTACTAGCATGCGAAAAAACAGCACTACAAAAATCTCTTGAAACCATAGGATCGCTGCAGTTGCCAAAGCTTTGTCGGGAGTTGAGAGTCCTCTGAAACTCCAATATGGCACTCGAACGTTCTTGATGCGGTATAGAGCTCACCAATGGATTAATATTGATATCAAATAATAGTTTAATAATTGAAGTGCATAAATGATAATCCGTATAAGAGGGCTTTTGTATCAAACGGTCACATGGTACAAAAATCCGCCATGACACTGGATGGCGAAAGAATGTAAACAAACCCAAAAGCAAAAGGAGCACAGCCCGTCAAGCTTGATTATTCTTTGTTTTCAACATACTAGTGGGTATTTTGCCGTCCATGGCGGATTTAGTAACAGACCGTTTCCGAAGAGATAATCAAATGCTTATTTAAAATTTACTCAGTGGTGTGCTTCCAGAAATAACCAATAAACAAACCTTCCATCTACCCAGGAGGGACTCGGTCATTATGTGCGATAGGTGTGATCAAAAAGAAACTTAGAGATAGGGGTAAAAAACATATTAGAATTATAGAAGCATCAATTCAATTGTACCTGTCTCACATTGTGTGCCTTCATAGCCCTTCAAACATCGACACTGATAGTCTTTTCGGTTGTATTGAAGAAGAGAACACTTACCACCATTAAAACAAGGCTTCTTTTGGCAAGGATTCTGGAAAGTTGTTGCAAATATAATCATTGAAACTTCATGCCTTAAGGTGGTATGGTACCCAAAAAAACCCTGCCATTTTTAAGTAAAATTGACAAAATTATTTTCCAGTTGATTTTGCCCTACCCTGCGAACAGAGTGTTATTTACCTTACCTTAGTAAAAAAATTCGCGAATATTTTACTGAGGTAAGGAAATATAAATAAAACACTGTTCGCAGGGTAATTTTGCCTAAAAACTGCATGAAATTTGACTGGAATAATGATTGATAGTACAGTAGTGCTATGCAATGAACCTCAAAAATTAACCTTGACATTGTTACAATGCTCAGTAATATCAAGGCTTTTTATCAAAGGACGCTGGCTAAAATTATATGCTTTTTGTTTGTTTACTCATTTTTTGTTTATGCAAAACATATAACARTTTTAGGTTCATTGCATACATTGAGATATTAGCATTAATGAATATTCTTAGTTTGGATTGTATTCCAATTATAGTTTCAGAGCTAGAGCTTTTACAGAAAGTGTCTTATAATTATGTATTTTGGGTGTGGCTTGGTTACCATAGCAACAACGAGTGCTAAAACTGGTATCAAATGATTTGTCTCAACAAGGATAATGATATGTGAAATAATAAAATGGCTAAGTCTTTTCCTTGAAATTATTGTTATCTTGGGTATCATACCACCTTTTAAAGCTGCTACTTAATTTAAAAATAACAGGATTGTAATTGTCACYATGATACATTAGTGCATCTCATGATTCTAAAAGCTATTATGCGTATTCGAACGGAYAATCTTTATCCTCGGTGCAAGATGATTACCGCGAATTTTAATTCATCGTTACTATTACGATCTATTACACTCTAATTATTACACTTTGTTTCACGTGTTTATGAAAACCACTCTATCTGAAAGCATCAGATAACAACAACAACATTAGTCTATATATTTCAATTKGTCAGTGCATGTCTTTTCACTGTCTCCAACTTTTTTTATTTGGTCTTTCTCGTCTTTCTCGCCAATTAAGCTTGCCAATAAAAACGCTTTTTACTTCGTACGGGCCTGTATCGTCCAGGCCTTTCTCCTTCGGATGCTTTTGATGAACTAACATTAGCTAATTCTGCCTCTTTGCCTCTAATG